AATCCAGGCCACAAAGACCAGAAAACCAAAGAGGAAACAGAAACCAAGGAACAAAACACCCATCCAACAAAGACAAACTCAGAAATTGGCACCTAGACCTATAATCACTCCAAACCCAGATACCTAGGCCCCAGTGTAAGAACACAGTCAACAACAGACAGGGCAATAAGTCACTAGGAAAGCACCCAACTATCCTCTTACTACATCAAGCTCTGAATATTCCAACAAAGCTGAAGCACAAGAAAACAACCTTACAACCAAGTTTATGAAGATGACACAAGTCCTTAAAGAAGAAATTAATAAATCTCTCAAAGAAAGTCAAGAAAAAAACAAACAGTTGAAAGAGACAAAACTGAGGGGATTCAGGAAATAGAAAAATCTAGGTAAGTGAACAGGAACTACAGACACAAGCAGCAGCAACAGAATATAAAAAATGGAATAAAGGACCTCAGGTGTTGAAAATGTGATAGAAGAAATAAATAATTGTTCACAGAAAATATTAAATCTAAAAAATTCCTGACAGAAAACATCCAGGAAATATGGGACACTATGAAAAGACAAAAATCTAAAAATAATAGGAATAGAAGAAGAAGAATCCCAGTTCAAAGGCTATAGAAGAGATTTTCAACAAAATCATATAAGAAAAATTTCCCAAACTAAAGGACATGCCTATAAAGGTACAAGAAGCTTATAGAACACCAAATAGATTAGACCAGAAAAGAAAGTCCCCTCACCACATAATAATCAAAACACCAAACATACAGAACAAAGAAAGAATATTAAAAAGCTATAAGGCGAAAAGGGCAAGTGACACAGCAAGTCCACAGAGACTATAAAAGCCAGAAGGTCCTGGATAGATGTGCTCCAGATTCTAAGAGACCACAGATGCCAGCTCAAACTACTATACCTAGCAAAATTTTCCATTACCATGGACAGAGAAAACAAAATATTCTAAGATAAAGACAAATTTAAACAGTATCCACAAATCCAGCCCTACGGAAGGTAACTAAAAGGAAAACTCCAACCCAAGGAGGTGAGCTACACACATGAAAACATAGGAAATAATCTCGTATCAGCAAAAGCAAAGAAGGGAAGTACAAACACACACTACCATCACCAACAATAACAATAAAATAACAGGAATTAGCAATCACTGGCCATTACTATCTCTCAGTATCAATGAACTCATTTCCCACCCCCAAGAGATAGATACAGGCTAATTTTGGAAAGGATGTGAAAATAGGATCCATCCTTCTGCTGCATACAAGAAATACACCTCAACATCAAAGATAGACATTACCCCAGAGTAAAGGATTAGAAAAAGATTTTTCAAGAAAATGGACCCAAGAAACAGGTTGGTATAGCTATTATAGTATCTAACAAAACAGATTTCAAATCAAAGTTAATCAAAAGAGATGGGGAAGGAAACTTCATGCTCACCAAGGAAAAATCTACCAAGATGACATTTCAATTCTTAACATCTATTCCCAAAACAAAAGGGCACCCGCATTTGTAAAAGAAACATTAATAAAACTTAAATCACACACTGACCTTCACACACCAATAGAGGGAAACTTTAATTCTCCACTATCACCAGTGGACAGATCTTCCAGACAAAAACTAAACAGAGAAATACTGGAACAGATGTTATAAACCAAATGGACCTAACAGATATCTATAGAATATTTCACCCAAACAAAAGAATATACCTTCTTAACATCTCACAGAACTTTCTCCAAAACTGACCACATACTTCATCACAAAGCAAATCTCAATAGATATAAGAAAAACGAAATACCCCCATTGAATTCTATCAGACTACCATGAGACTAATACTGGATATCAAAACAACAGAAACAATAGAAAGACTATTAACTCATGGAAACTGAACAACTCTACTGAAAGACAACTGGGTCAAGGCAGAAATAAATTTAAGACTTCCTAGAATTCAATGATAATGAATGCACAAGATACCCAAACTTACTGAACACAATAAAAGTGGTGCTCAGAGGAAAATTCATAGCACTGAGTGTCCACATAAAGGAATTGGAGAGAACTGATACTAGCAACTTAATATCACACTGAAAGCTCTAGAACAAGAAGAAACACACACAGAGGAATAGACAGCAAGAAATAAACTGAGGGCTGAAATCAATAAAATAGAAACAAAGAGAATAATAATAAGAATCAAGGAAACAGAGTTGGTTCTTTAAGGAAATCAACTAGACAAACTACCTGAAAGGTAAAGAGAGAATATCCAAATTAACAACAATCAGAAATAAAAGGGGGGATATAACAACAGACACCACACCAAGGAAATCCAAAGAATCATTAGGTCATATTTTTTTTAATCTGTATTCTACATAATTGGAAAATCTAAAAGAAATGGACAATTTTCTCAATAGATACCACTTACCAAAGTTATATCATGATCAGATAAACAATTTAAATAGTTCTATAGTCCCAAAAAAAAACCAGAAGTAGCCAGGCGGTGGTGGCGCACGCCTTTAATCCCAGCACTCGGGAGGCAGAGGCAGGCGGATCTCTGTGAGTTGGAGACCAGCCTGGTCTACAAGAGCTGGTTCCAGGACAGGCTCCAAAACCACAGAGAAACCCTGTCTCAAAAAAAAAAAAAAAAAAAAAAAAAAAAAAAAAAAAAAACACAGAAGCAGTCATAAAAAGTCTCCCAACCAAAAAACCCCAGTACCAGACAATATCAGCACAGAATTCTACCAGACTTTCAAAGAAGAGCTAATGCCAATACTCCTCAAATTATTCTACAAAAGAGAAACAGAAGGAACATTGCCAAATTCATTTTATGAGGCCACAGCCACCCTGAAATCCAGACCACAGAAAGACTCAACAACAACAACAAAAAATAATTACAGACCAATTTCCCTCATGAACATTGATGCAAAAATAATCAATAAAAAACTAGCAAACTGAATCCAAGAACACATCAAAAAATCATCCATCATAATCATGCAGCCTTTATCCTAGAGATGCAGGGATGGTTCAACATATGAAATTCTGTCAATGAAATCTACCATATAAACAATGTAAAAAAGAAAAAGAAAACCACACGATCATCTCATTAGATGCTGAAAAGGCCTTCAACAAAATGCAACACCCCTTCATGATAAAAGTTTTGGAGAGCTTCCTTTTCTGCTTCCTTGACGTGCACACGCGTTTTTCTCTGTCTCTCTCTCCTTTTATCTCTTTCCTCTCCTTTTATCTCTTCTCTCTCTTTCTCTCTCTCCCTTTTTCTTTCTCTCTCTCTTCCTTAATAAATACTTATGGCGAAAAAAGTTTTGGAGAAATTAGCAATACAAGGAACATAACTAAACATAAAAAATGCAACTTATAGTAGCCTATACCCAACATCAATATAAATGCTGAGAAACTCAAAGCAATTCCAATAAAATCAGGACTAAGACAAGGCTGTCCTCTCTCTCTCTCTCTCTCTCTCTCTCTCTCTCTCTCTCTCTCTCTCTCTCTCTCTCCTCTTCAATATAGTACTTGAAGTTCTAACTAGAGCAAAAAGTCAACTTAAAGAAGATCAAGGGGATACAAATTGCAAAGAAAGCAGTCAAAGTAACACTATTTGCAGATGATATGACAGCTGCCCATGGGAGAACAGGACCAGGTACAAAACTCATCTTCCTGTTTTCATTAGAATCCATCTAGATTTATACATGAAATTAGTTAGTAGTTTTAAAAAACACTACTTAATAAATAACTGATGTTTTAAAAACAAACAAAACAAAAACCAGGGTACAGGTCAAATGAAGCATATTCATGGACCAAATCTGGCTCTGAGAACCTCTGCCTTACATGTTTTGTTGGCTTCTTAAGTCCATTCCTCCCTTGCATGTCACCTGACCTGGCTCTAGTACAGACAATTGCCCATTTGACCTAGGAAGTAAGCAGTGTTAGCGTTAGGAGTCAGGATGGAGTTAGCATCTCAGGACCAGGGAGTGCTACTTGCCATGGACTGGTGTGGTAGATCCAGAGGAGTCACAAACTCTCAGGAGCATGACTGAGGAAGTATACTCTTTTAGATTTAGATATGAAGTCTAAATAGTTCTACTTTGCCAGCTATTCCCAATGGAGACTGAATCTTAAACAGATAAAGGTTTTATGTAAGTCTTCGGCATGTCTCAGGATCACCACAACTAGATTCCTAACACTGTCCTTACAATGTCATTGGTGCCCCAAATTTCTCATCTCTTTCATGTACACATGAAGGGAACACAGATGGATTAGAGAAGTTGTAACTATCACTCAGCTCATTCTACCCTGAAAACCATTAACATTTCCCAGAAACCTGAAAACATTTTTGAAAGCAATTTTATGAAAATGCTTACAAAAAAGGTGAATTTGTTCTAAACCTTCAAATTACAGGCACAATAGTTCAGAGACTGATGACATTAACTCTAGTCCAGTACATCATACTGCTATTTAGTACCTTACTATCCTCACTGGTTTGAGCATATGGCATATTTGATACAGCACAGGTGCTAATGGCTGCTTCTGACAAATGGCAGAAAATACTCTGACCAGGGAGGTGGTAAAAGCAAAGCACTGCATTCTGGTCGGCCAGTGCTGAGAACATGCAATATTAACACTAATTTTGGGAAGTCTGTAGCTAGGGGCTGCACCAGTCACAAATATGTGTGGGGAGAAAAGCTCATACAAGAGGAAGATAAGATAGGTGCTAAAGCTGGGAAGAAAACACGATCTGTCATCAGAAAAGTAAGTGATTTCCCATTTTAAATAACCAAAAATATTAAAATGCACAGCATGACTTAGAATGCTGCTTCAAATTTCAATTTAATACTAGTGAACGGTATGCCAACAACTTCCTTATACACATGACTCTGACTACTGGAATGATCCTGCAGGACTGAGGCTGTGTTACTGCATATGAAGGAGGTTATTAAGTGCTTTATAATGATTATGTTAAAGGTCATATTTCTCATACACATAACCTCACTTACTATTATGAATTAGACATGTACATGAGCAGACAATGGTCTTCTTCCATTAAATGCAAACTGGCTGAAATTACTGCTGAAGTTGCCAGGCTGTAAGAGAAAAGAGATCAAATTAATGAGGATGAGGTTGTATAATCAGTTTATGAAACAAATTGTGCTGGGGTCACGGCTGATATCACCAACTCCCACATATCCAAGTACACTTTAAAATGTGACTCCTCTCCTTTTCTAACACAAACTCTAAGTCAAGTTGTTTCTTACTTCTCTTCCATTCCAATTGATCGTGACACCCGTAGCAGAAACATCTGAGCACTAACTCTCTACTGCCAGAGGGACAGAGACCCACCTCCTTGGTAGGGCATTTTTGGCTTTCCTAAGATTGGCCAATACTTCAAATCCAGGAGTTTTCTATCTAAGCTGATATAAAAACCAGTGGGGGGGAGCTTTAAAAGATAAGCAGGTTGATAACCTATGCCTCAGAAACTACTTAACAGTTCTGAGGCAAGATTCTGAGACTTGCAGCTTTAAGAAATCTGGATGGTACTTCTGAATTGCCAAGACTGAAGCACTTAACCAATTTTCCCACCTATTATTGCCACACACATGGCAAGTAGCATTCCCTGGTCCTGAGATGCTAACTCCATCCTGACTCCTAACACTAACACTGCTTACTTCCTAGGTCAAATGGGCAATTGTCTGTACTAGAGCCAGGTCAGGTGACATGCAAGGGAGGAATGGACTTAAGAAGCCAACAAAACATGTAAGGCAGAGGTTCTCAGAGCCAGATTTGGTCCATGAATATGCTTCATTTGACCTGTACCCTGGTTTTTGTTTTGTTTGTTTTTAAAACATCAGTTATTTATTAAGTAGTGTTTTTTAAAACTACTAACTAATTTCATGTATAAATCTAGATGGATTCTAATGAAAACAGGAAGATGAGTTTTGTACCTGGTCCTGTTCTCCCATGGGCAGCTGTCATATCATCTGCAAATAGTGTTACTTTGACTGCTTTCTTTGCAATTTGTATCCCCTTGATCTTCTTTAAGTTGGCAGACAGTGGTGGCAGCTTGCTTGTTTCTAGCCCTCTATTCAGGCAGACTATCCCCTAGCCTATCATTTCTTCCCTAACTCTAGTTACAGCTCCTCCATTCTTCTGAAACCCAGTGAACCTTCAGCACTATCTTTAGAAACATGGCAATCACAATGGGATTACCATTCTGAGCATCCTAAACCCACTAATTTCCTCTGTAAAAAAATTTATGGCAATGACACTTTTACTGAGGATGCTTCTTTAACACCTTGAACCCTGTATTTCAGGCCCCTAGGGGAAGGTAAACTTTCTCTAGCATCTTTTGTTCACTCTTCCTAGCCTCCAGCTCTGACAGTATTAAGCATAAATCAGGTACTCATGTGTGCAACGCTTAATGATCACTGAATAAATTATATTCTCTTAAATTTATGAAGAGATTTTTCTTAGTCTGACAAGCTAGGCTGTCACCTTTCAGGGCTGTGTATGCACACAGTGACATGTTGTTCACTAGAAGCATCATTAGGCCCATGTAGAAATGATAATCACTTGTTCACAAAACCTGACGTGGTGTCAAATATCTATTAATGTGTTTTCCCTATAGATAGAATGATTTCCATGTTTATATATTCCCCATGCATATGTATTATGCTATGTGTGGATGAGCAGAAAGGATAGTAAAACAGCTCTTCATCTCTCTACATATGCTTCAAACGGTCCTCTCAAGCAAAGGGACAGCTGAGCCCATCCTAACCCACTATGGGGAGGACCAACCAGAGTGCTTCTCCCTCAGTTTACACTGAGTGATACTTTAATACATGTGCTTAATACATGTCTTCATATGTGGTGACCCCCAACCATGAAGTTATTTCATTGCTACTGTACATCTGTAATTTTATTACTCCTATGAATCATGATGTAAGCATCTGATATGCAGAATATTTGATATGCAGTCCCTATCAAAGGATCATGCAACCCCCAAAAGGTCGTGCCATAAGTTGAGAATCAGTGGTTTAGTGTCAAGAGCTTATAGGCCAATGTCTATGACACAGTGCCCAAAGCCAAGTTGCATTGGAAGAAGAGCAGCCAGCCACATGACTACCAGAGCTCCAGCTTAGCCCATAAAGTTCACAACGTATCTCTAGAGCCTTCTAGACACAGAGGTACAGCTTCTCCACAAAACAGTATAATACATGGCAGCCGCCTGGAGTTGAAGCAGCACTGGTGCTTTTGGGTTAAACAGTCCTGAAAGTGCTGGCTGAGAGAAAAACCACTATTTATAATATTGCTTTTGTGGGAAAATGTTTCCTGTATTCCAAACAACAGGTCAGACATGAACTTCTGCAATAAAGATTATTTCTGAGATTGGGACTGACTGTTTCTTGTTAATTGCACTATGTTCAGTATTTTCCTAGGCTAAGGCAGCAACCAGAAGAGTATAACAAGAATAACTAGCTGCCATGAACATGGGTCAGAAGTATCCATGAGAATGAATGCCAGAGGGCAAGATGGGAAGAAACCCAGTACATTCTTAGTTTGCTTAATGAGTGTTAACGAACACTATTAAAGTCTATGCTATATGGGAAACAAAAATTAGGAAAGATTTTGATTTGTAACCTTAACCTAGGATGGGAGATAGCAGATATAAAGTTCACACACACACACAAAGCTACATGGTTAAAGCATAGGAATACAAACAAACATTAGATATAGGCAGCAGAGAGAGAAAGACGAGCCAGTACTTCCAGGTGGAAGCTGAAACTTCATAAAGGTTTTACCTGGTGTGGCAGCTTGAATACTGGCCCTCTCCCCAAGGCTCATGTATTTGAATAGTAGGACCCTAGTTGGTGCCACTGTTTGGAGAGATCTAGGAGGTGTGGCCTTGCTGGAGGATGTATGCCACCAGGAACAGGTTCTGAGGCCTCAGTATTCTCAGTGTGTTCTCCATCTCCCCGCCCCCTACCTTCTCTTTCTGCTCTTTCTCTCTCTGCTTTATGCTTGTGGTTCAAGGTGTGAACTCACAGCTTCCTGCTCTAGCTTCCACACCTGCATACTGCTTCCACCTTGCTGTATAGACTCTGACCCCCTGGGACTATAAGTCAAAACTAACTGTTTCTTGCACAAGCTGTCTTCATTATGATGTTTTATCACAAAACAAAATTAATACTCATGGGATTTAAGACATAGAGGAAGCAGCAAGCTTGGTTAAGCAGAAACCACCATAGGCATCAGAAGATCACAGATATTATGTATTAAAAACAGCACCATGGATTTAAGAAGTTATTGACCTACCAAGAAAGGTTTCACATACAAGAGAAGTAAAAGGTACTCTGAGAAATATGAAAGTCACAAAGTGGCAAATGTGCCAGTCACCTTTATTCTTTGCTCTTAAGTCTGTGTTGAGCTATAGCTAAGACTTACATGAAGTAAGCTGACTTAGCAAGTGTCTTCTTTCTTCCAAAACATTCATATTGGATGATGCATGACATTCATCTTTATCTGAAAGCAAATGTAATGGAAGCATTAAAACAGAAAGAATTGATAAGTACCTTACAGAAACTAATTAGATGGTTGCACCCGAAAAGTAATAAAAATTATATGAAGCACTATAAAATTGACATTCGTCATACTATGAGTCATTTAAGAACCTAAAATAAAACCCTATCCTGCTCAGAGAGTTTGAAAAGTGAGATACATAATATTGCTCTTCATTGATTTCACTTCAGAATAATAAAACTTAGAGAAAATGTTGTATAATACTGAAGCATGCTTTAAAGATAAACACTGGAGGTCTAGTCACTGTCCTGGTGAACACGGAGCCACCAGGCTGACTAAGAGGAAGTTCCCATTTTCAAGAATCTCATAAACCTCCAGACAGACAAGCAGGAAAGAGTCCACTAGATAGGTCAGCCAGTGCTACAAATAATACAAGGCTTCTGGGACTTTAATTTCTACAAGAAAATAAAGGAAGGCTCTGCCTTCTGGGAAGAAGATACAGGCGGGCAACAGGAGGCTGGCAGGCAGTTAATGCGGTGGGGGTGGATTTAGGCTGAGGTTGTAGTTAAGGAGTTAAATACTAGATTTAGCACAATGGGCTTCAATTTATACTAAAATAAGCCATAAAAGTTTCTAGCTAAAATCATATTCAATTTTATATTTTAAAAGCATAGCTATCAGGCTGAAAAGACCGTCGTCCAGTGGATAAGAAAATGCATTGCAAACATGAGTCTGGATCACAGCACTCAAGTAAAAAGCTGGACATGGGCATACAGTTCTGCCTACAACTGCAGCATGATGGCAAACAAAGACAGCTCTGGCATTGGACTCAAGAGGATTTACTAGGCTTGTGACTCTAGTACAGTGGCTATAGTACCTCCAAATTCAGTAAGAGACCCTGGCTTAAAGAACAAGGTAGCGAATGATAGAGTACAACACCTGATGTCTTCCCCTGGCCTTCACACATATGCCACAGGCTCTCACACACACACCCCTACATGACATGCATACATAAACACATGATCTCTAAATGAATGTGGTTATTTATATACTAGCGTATGGACGAGATACTATGAGAGGACTCCATGGGCAAGAAATCTCTTGTTACTGTAGTAACCAAGATGAGAAGAAACTGGCACAACTGCAACAGAAGTAAAATATTTTTAAAAACTCACTGATGACGATGTCCTTCAGAGTGGGAGCTAGATTAATGACCCCATCAATCAGCCCAGCCTAACAACTAGAGCCATTATCAACCTTGTCACACAGTGACAAACACAGGTGATCTGGTCTGTAATAGACTATCTTTCTAAGCAGATGCATTTACTGTAACCTTAAGAATTCTGTTCTAGAATATCAGAGTCCAATCTGTGACCAACAGACACAGCACACTCATCTGTCTGAAAGGTCAACTTCAGAATGGTCTCTATGACTGTTTGTACTGCCGCGAGCTGGAGTCTGCTCAGCTCGTAAATGGTTTATTTACGTAAGGACAGAATCCCACACAAGACTGCTATCTACCAATGAAAGAAAGGCAAAAAGGGGGTGGGGCTGCCCAATTCTGTCTCTTCAAGGAATAAAGCAGACTGAGATAAACTCAAGGATCACTTGAGATCCTAGAAATTTCAGGAAGATGGTGGAAGAAAATAAGTTTCTAAAAATTGGGAGATTTAGAAGAAAGAAATGCAATTAGTAAACTATACTATTTATGATTATCACTTAAAATATTTTCTTAGGGCTGATATTCAAATTTAAAAATTATTAAGTTGTATTTTAAAGTTATTTTTGATTATCTAATAACAAATGGTTAGCCCTGAGAACATGCATAGGAGTAACAGGTTATTGGTTACTGAGCAGGTTGTTATTTAGGAAAAAAAAAAAAGTGTGTGTCTATGTGTGTGTGTGTGTGTGTGTGTGTGTGTGTATAAAACAACAATTAATTTAAAAGAGGCTATGACTCTGAAAAAGAGCAAAGAGAGGTAGATGGATAGGTTTGGAGAAAGGAAAGGTAAGGAAAAAGATATAATTATATTATAATCTCAAAAAATTAAATAATTAAAAAATATATAGTTCTCTTAAGAGATAACATTTTAAACAGCTGCTCAGGGTCTAGCAAATGTTACTCTCAGAATAACTTCTCTATGTAATTAATGGTAGTGAATTAAGAGATGCATGGCTGACCAATGTGCTGAGAAAAGTGACAACTGATGTTCAGCCCCAAACAGGACTCCAAGACTCAGGGGATGGGATATCTAGGAAGAAGGGGAAGAAAGAATGTAAGAGCTGAAAGATGGTGAGAAGGGCTGAGGGATGCTATCTTGTAGGCACAACGCAGTCAATGTAATCATGACAGCACAGCAGCTTCAGCTGATTGCAATAGGCCTGCACAAAAGACTAGGCCTTAACACTCAATTGTGGACACGGAAAAGGTTCATGGAGTCCTACCCTACCTGATAAAGTACTGGTTACTGATGAGTTCTGGAAAAAGGATCCCATTATCTTCATTTGTCTACTCACTAGTGGGCTTAGCCGGATTCAGTGGACAGTACAACTCCACCCATTATGATGGCTATTCTTGGTGGCCAACTTGACTACATCTAGAAATTATCTAAAAGCCAAATATTGGGCACACCTGTGAGGATTATTTTTTCTTTATTAAATCATTTGAAGTGGGATGACCCATTTCTAATCCGATCTTTGAAGTGAGATGATACACCTTTAATCCAGATAGTTTGCAATGGGAAAATCTACCTCTAATCTGGGCCATACCTTCTGCTGATAGCCTATATAAGGGCATGGAAGAAGGACAGTTGTTCTCTCTTTGCAAGCTTGCTCTCTCTCTTGTTAAAATGCCCATTCCTTTAATGGTGTTAGAGTTCACTTCTTTAGGATTCTGGCAGATACCAAAGACCAGCTGAGACATTGAGTCTTGCAGACTGAACAACTACTGGATTCTTAGACCTCCCATCAGTAGATAGCCAGTAGGACTAGCTGGACCACAGCCTGTAAGCAATTCAAATAAATAAATCTTTGTGTGTGAGTGTGTGTGGGCGTGCATTCTGTAAGTTCTGTTCCTCTAAAGAATCCTGACTAATACACCCATGATAACACCACTGACCCCAGTTAAACTCAGTGAGTCACAAAACAAAACAAAACAAAACAAAACAAAACAAAAGAAACAAAAAAAAAAACAAAACCTTGAATGGTAGAAAGGGACTTGTAGAGAGGGGTGAAGTACTTAAGGGGATCTAGAGATGCTGGGGGATATAATCATAGTATACTATATACATCCATGAACTCTGTCAAAGGTCAAATTTAGTAAGTTATGTAAGAACAAACAAACAAAAATCCCCAAAGAGGACCTGACAGTAACCAGCACTAACAAATTCTTTAGGAATGGCTGTGAATTTGTGAAGAAGTGCCTGCTGGATTCCAGACACACAGCAAGATATACCCGCTCCCCATACCCATGATGAAACATCTAAGGAGGGGAAAGCACAGTGCATTGACAGCAACCATGAAGTGTCGGTAAGATACCAGGGTGGCACAGTGTAAGACAAAAATTTTATCAATTAGGTTTCATTTACTGCACATGGAAAATTGATTTCAGATACAGTTATTTACAAATTTTTGTGTTTTCTACACAATGTGAGTTTACTGATGACAGAGAAGAAGCTAGTACTTATAAAAGTTTTAAGTAAGTAATCTTTAAAAGTAAGATTTTTCTTTTACTTTTTAATCTTAAGGTCACAAAAGGAGTTTAAAGGAAAAAACATATAGAAACAGTAAAACAAAACAAAACAAACAAACAAACAAAAAAAAACCTATCTCTCTACTGTCTCCTACCACCTCAGCCTGCCCCTCTGTTCCCGTGGGGATAACTTTTCATATGTTGGGTTAACGCTACCATTGAGAGCAATATGACAACAAGCTTCAGTGACACTGGGTATACATGCAAACATGTGCAGTGTATGTGAGACACTTCAAAACCTGCTCTGCGTGAGATTTTTAATAAGCATTTCTAAAGAAGACAGAAAAGAAATTAGAAGGATAGAATGGGTGTGTCCAAGCTCGAATGCAGGAAATCTGGGCTATAAAAAAAATCACACTATGATTACTTTCAAATCCCCTAAAATTAGCCAACAAACCCTTTAATCACAGAATACAAACTGACATCTTGAAAGACTCCAGATCATTACAAAACAGTGTGGGAAGTTAAATGGCTCATATCTCACTGGCAGCAACACATGCATTGGACAATGGGCATATCCAGAAGCAGGCACAGGCTGTGTAAACTTGCTCCTGGCAGCAGACCTAGAAACCAAAGCAGTAGATGGTCTGAGTATGTTAGTGCTGAGAGCCAGGTGTGGTCTCTGTGCTGCTGTCCCTGTGACCAAGTAATGGAAGCATCCATTTGCAAAGACTGATGCTAAAATTAAATAAATGTACTGGGTATGTTTGCTTTCTTCAAGTAAATACAATCAAGGGTTTCAAGAGAAAAAATTAAATTTGTTTTACAAAAGCAAAAAAGTACAGCTAAATATTTAGTGACATTAATACAAGAATTGCTTATTATAAAAGAATCAGAAGTGAATAAAATTCACAGGGAATTACATTTATAATGACTTCAGCTCCATATATATGCAAAAGTAGTGAATCTGGAAATACTTCTTTTTATGTTCAAATTCAAATCAAGACATCACTCAGTTGATCTTGCTAGTGAGGTTAGATGGACCATTATGTAATCATAAATTCTACTTCCCAATATTTCTTCCTAGCTTTCTGCGGCAATGTTAAACTAGGAAGGAGAATGTGAGACGGATTTTCTATTGAGCCCACCCTAAGGTAGCTAAAGGAGCCATGTCATGGGCAGAGAAGAGCAAATGAGTGGAAATGGAGAGAAGTCTAGCAGGGAGCGGGCACGTGCTGATCAAGGCCTCCCGCTTCTTTACAACTAGACCACAACTGTTTGTCAATGTCATACTCGCACTTCTACACATCCT